TGGGGGGGTCGGCAGGACCCAGCTCTGAGGAACGGATGAACTCTCAGGATGATCTACTGCCACCAAACACGTGTCCCACTCTTTCCTGAAACACAAACACGTGGGTGGCAGAACTGCATGTTATCAAACTGCTGGGACATGAATCACAGCTCGTTCTCTTATTGAACAGCTGTTTGCCACATGAGTCCTCTCTCTGTCACTTCTAACATACATGTGGGAACATTCACAACTATGATAGATGCCCCAGAGGAGCCTCGCTGCTGCCACTGGAGTGAAGAGTGGGAGTAACACTTAGTTAGCTCATCATCATCAGTGTGAACACCTCGAGAAAGCAGACGTTTGGCCAGTGTGCAGGTCTGCAGCACTCAGGTATGTTAAACTCAGTGCTGAGGAAGAAGATGTCAGCAGCTGCTGTCATTTCAAGTCCTTCACTCTGCAGTGAGAAGGATCATCCACATTCAACACCACTGCCACGCTTCCCCAGAGTGGACGTCCAGCCTGAGTTGGCTGGACGTCCACTCTGGGGAAGCGTGGACGTCCAGCCAACTCAGGCTGGGACACTGATCTTTTTTTAATGAACATTTTTATTGAAACTTTTAGTTGTGAACAAAGCAAAAACAATAACACTTGTACTCTGTTCTACACACACCAGCCACTACTCACTTACCTACATGTACATCGAGTGGCAAAGAGCCAACTGGTGAAAGACCAAACACAGTTATACTGATAACGAGCCATTTTTAATAAGATGCCAGTTTAACCACTGTCGTCCTTCACAGATGGACTGAAGGACAAACGCTGGCATTTTCTCTCCCTTCATAGTGATGGTGGCTGCACAGGTTCATCATCTCAGTGGAAATAACTCGTATGAACAGTTTCAGTCCGGCGTCCGTTCATGTCACAGTACAGAAACATCTCTGGTAAAAATCACCAACGATCTTCTGCTTTCAGCTGATTCTGGACTCATCTCCATCCTCATCCTCCTTCACAGATCAGCATCTATTGGCATCAGTGGTACAGCACTCGCCTGGTTTACTTCTTATCTCTCTGGCCGCTCACAGTTTGTTCAATATCTACTCCAGTTAATTCTGGTGAACCCCAAGACTCTGTCCTGGGTCCTTTACTGTTTATCATCCATCTCCTACCCCTAGGTAATATTTTCAGGAAGCATAACATCCAGTTTCACTGCTACGCAGATGACACCCAGCTCTACCTGTCCTCCAAACCCACAGCTACTCTCCACCCACATCCATTTCTGACTGTTCAAGTGAAATCAGTTTGGTTTTCTCACAACTTTCTTAAACTTGATGGCAATAAAACAGAATTTATTTTAATAGGCACCAGATCAAAACTGACAACAGCTCCAACCAGTCTTTCGTTATCCATTGATAACTCTGATGTCACACCCTCCCCTCGGGTTAAGAGTCTTGGTGTCATCCTCGACAGCACTCTGTCCTTCACAGCACAGATAAATAATATCACTCGGTCTTCCTACTTTCATCTCCGTAATATTAACCGTCTTCGTCCCTCACTCACTCCACACAGTGCCGCCATACTTGTCGATGCTCTTGTCACATGTCGTCTGGATTACTGTAATTCTCTTCTCTATGGTCGACCTCATGAATCCCTCCATAAACTGCAGTTAGTTCAAAATACAGCTGCTCGTATTATTTCCAGAACTAGATCCACTGAACATATAACAGCTGTTCTTAAACAGCTCCACAGGCTCCCAGTTCACCTCCGTGTCAATTTCAAGATCCTGCTTCTCACTTTCAAAGCGCTTCATAACCTTGCTCCTCCATATCTATCCGATCTTCTTCACACATACTCACCCCTTCGTACACTCCGCTCTTCTTCCCTTCTGTCAGCTCCACCTGATGCCTGACTACAGTGGGACTCAGAGCCTTTAGTTGTTCTGCCCGAGACTTTGGATGCACTTCCACTTGCTCTCTGGACCACACACTGTCTCACCACCTTTAAACCACGTCTCAAAACCCATCTGTTTAGAATTACATCTGATCTGTCTTAGGCCATTTTTACCTGCTCAGTTTTTAGATTTGCTTTTATACTTTTATGTCTAAATTTTATCGACCATGTTTGCTGTTTATACATTTTTCTTATGTTTTTATGGTATGTTTACGTGTTACTGTGAGGTGACCTCGAGGGTCTGAAAGGCGCCTATAAATAAATGTATTATTATATTATTATTGTTCATATTTTCTACACTTTCCTCACAAACAACAGAGAAACAAAGTGTACAAAGACGAGCAGACCGACCTGATGTGGATGAGCGCGTGCAGCGAGTGCTCCGCCTGGCTGTAATAGTCTCTGAAGGGCTGCAGGGCACAGCTGGCTGGGAACTCCTCTGTCAAACAAACACAACAGCAGTGACAACAGTCATACCCTGTGCACGCACACACACACACACACACACACACACGTGCACAACCATACCTCCAAACAGCATGGAGTCCACTCTGTGCTTCCTCTGCAGCTGTCTCTCTCTCTCCTTCCTCACTCGGCGCTCCCGCTCTCTCCTCCTCTCCTCCTCTCGCTCTCCTTCCAGCATCACCATCAGGGCCTTCTCCTCTGCCGAGTAAACGACAGTCCTCCTCTTTATCACCATCCTCAGCTGCTCCAGGGTGCTGCTGAACACCTCGTCGTTTTGCAGCTCCGTCACGATGCCTGTGTGGTGGAAATGTGTTTTATTATTTATCACACGTTTCAGTAATTTCGCTTCTGTGTCACTCAGTTGAATTCATGTGGGACAGCAGTTAGTTTCAACTTTATTGCACGCATGATTAGGCTTCGTGAGAACACTGGAGACACCCAGGGGCCGTGTGGGGGGATTACAACTACAGTAAAATAATGACAGCGTGACGCCTCTGCCTTTGTAAACAGAGGGACAGTAACTGTGTGTAAAACCTGCAGACAGTCAGATTAACAGGATTTCGTCTCTATCTGCAATTCATCTCATGTAAACAATAACGTGGCCACAGCGTGACGTGAAAAAAGGCACATACCTTTGACGCTGTGATGAACTCTGTATTCCTCGTCCACACGTAAACACAAAAAAGGAGTTTAAAAAAAATCTCCGTTTTCGGTGATTTGAAACGCCGTTTACGTGACGAAACAGCTGCGTGTTCACAAACACCCGTGTAGGTGCGGACGCAGCGTAACAGAGTTAGTAGTTTATTTTCTTACTACCTGTAATTTATTGCAGATTACTTGTATTTGCTTAATTGTTTACTAAATGTTTGAGGAGTGAAATAAACCAAAATATGGGCGTGTGTGGTTGGAGGACGTGTTTGTGTGTGTTTGTGTGTGTGTGTGTGTGTGTGCGCGCACAAATATTTTTCTTGTAAAACAAAGGGGGGCCCAGCAAAAACAGTTTGGGAACCACTGCTCTAAGCCATCAAACTCCTGAACACTGACTGACTCACACCTACCATGAGCACTTTTTTCCTCATACACACACTTTTTGCACAACCCACTGTCATGGTTGCAGTGTTGTGACTGCACTGTCCTGTGTCTGTCTGGTGTTGCACTGTTTGTTTCTTTTGCAACTTTGGCACACTTGTACTTTATATAGTCCTTCGTTGATTGCCTGTTATATGTGATATGTAGCACCAGGTCTTGGAGGAACTTCCTGACAACAAGGCCACTTGACTTGACCTGCCCCAGAGAAACTGCTGAATCCAACGATCCAGTTCTTTAAAGAATCTTGAATATATAAGTGTGATAGTAGATATTATATAATAAATCACATGTGCAGTCATCATTGTGTAAGGTGTATTCTAAACAATCTACCATTTTTTTCCAGCATTGGTCCCATGTTTGCTTTAACCACATCAGTACAGTCGGAGGCACTTTGTATACACGAGTATCTGAGACCACTTGAGGACCACCAAGGGCCACTGTTTGAATAAAGTATAAGGGCACAGTCCTAACATGGGCATTATGTCATGTTATTAACTTGCATATAAAATACGTTTATGATGATTACTGTCCACAGCAACGTTCATGTTGTTTCTCAACTTTTGTGCCAAAGGTTCTTTGTGAACAACCCAGGGCTGAGGGGCAACCGTGTCTCGTGGATCTTTGTGAATAAAATGTGTCCAACATAAACCCATTTGTCAAAACGAAGGCCGAAGCCAATTTTTTCTGATGTCTTAAACAAATAATCCCATTCAACACAATCAAAGGCTATTTAACAAAGCCCTGCTCTTAGTATAAGATTGTAAAGCCTCCTTTTAGCTGAGATTCCTGTGTGGGGATATTTTCATTAGCCGTCTCCTTCATAAAAGGACGGAAATAATCCTCGTCCTCAAATATTCTTCCGTAGCATACCACCAGACACCCATTTTTGTGTCATCTCAGGAAAAAAAATGTATGTCACCTCTAATCATTACAGCAAATAACGTGTGTTTAAGTAAGAACACATTCAAACGCCACCAACGACTTTGGGGGTCTGTCAAATGTGTGTAACCATGGTGAAGTCTGCAAAGCCCATTCAATACTAAAGCATTAAAGACTGCAGCATAAATCAATAAGAAACCTGACAGACTGGGGAGAGTCCACTCTGAGAGCATCCAGCTCGATACACCTACTCTCACCTTTCTTGGATACCGCTTCTCTCCGTAGCCGACGCAGCTTCTCCAGGGATCTCAGGATGTCCTGCATCCTCTTCACATCCGCCTGCTTCTTCCTAACTTCACAAAGGACAGAGTCTGCAGCCATCTTCAGTTCCTTCTCCTGCAACACAAACACTGATGTTAGCATTTGGAACAACACCACACAGGACGACAGACGCTATGACAGGAGCAAGCTGTGGCCATAATGAGCCCTCCTCAGAGTGTTTCCTTCTGGGCCTCCGTACTTGATGCAGCCCTGACACGAGCGGTTTGGAGCACCTCTTGTTTCAGTACCAACCGCTCTTTAAGCAGCTGCAGTCTGATTGGCTGCCGCTCATAAACAGTCTTTGATCTGAGCCAAAAGTGGAACAAACTGTCCCAAACACGCAGTTGGCCTCATAATATGAAAGCCTGGCCATGATTACAGGAAGTGTAACAGTGAACTCTTTAAACACGTGGCTGACAACATCGTTCATACCTTTTTCTTCTCCTCCACTTCCTGCATCAGTTTCATCCTCCATTTGTCTGCAGCGGTCTCTTTGAGAGACCTGCGCTCTTCCGCGGCTTTCTCCTCCGTCTTCGCTTCTCTCCTGGCTCTGAGTCTGCGGAGCCTCCTGCAAGCAGCCCGGGACACTTGAGCCTTCAGCTCACCTAACCGTGAGGTGTCGGCGAGAAGTCCGGCTTTGTCCGCCAGCTCCGCCTTGATGTCTAAAGCCCTTGAATATGAGTGCGTCCACTCGCCGTCACCGTGAAGAGAGTGGGTCAGAGTGTGACAAAGGTCCTCCAGCCGTGAGATGAGCTGAGCCGCCCCGTACAGAGCCTGTCTGAGGGAGGACACGGAGCTCAGTTGCGGCGAGTGCTGGCTCTGTAGCCTCCCGCAGCTCTTCTTGCCTGTGGCCTGTAAGAACTGTCGGACCCATTTCGTATCCTGCTTCCTCTGCCGGGTCACATCATCGTCCGGATCCCGTGTCGCTACCGGGCCGCGGTGCTCCGTGTGGCTGCGGTTAGACGCTAGCTCACGGTCACAGCGAGGAGCGTGAGGCCGTGTTTGGAGTTGCTGGGGGGCTCCGGGGATGCTTGGGAGGTTCAGGAGGTGTCCGGGGGGTGGGCAGCCGAAACCAGGCGGGGGCACAGAGGGGTCAAATCCATAAGGCTGGGCAAAAGGTGGCCCCGCGAAACCCACACCGAAGGGACGAGCGTCGTAAGCCGGCGGAGGCGTCCACGGTGGAGCCGTGAGGTCCGGCTCCCGCGCTTCGTGAAGCCCGGGGTGACTGTACTGCGAGGGCACATAGCGGCTGTTATAGCCCGAAGTGTCTGAGCGGTACGAGCTATCCATGGCCCGGTAACAGTCGCCGTATCCTCGAAGAAACTCAGAACGACACCGCTGAAACGGAACAGTACGCGGGGATTTTCTTCTTTAGTTCTTGATGTTGGTGTCGTAACCAACTTGCGGTGCATCATCGCCACCTACAGGCGGAAATGTGGAACTCAGCCACCCAGGGGCCCGCAGGCCGGAAGTGCGAGGCTGTTAAATGATGGCGTTTGAACCCTGCATGCCGGTCCAAACTACTCTGAGTTTATTAAGACTGTTGTGTTTTTAACATGTTTGTATCTTGTTGTATTTAATCTGAACTAGTCCATAAAAAGCCAGTGATCACTGTCGGCCTCTCTCGGTTTTAGTGGCTCAGTTTTTAAAACCTCAAACATGTAACAGCCCAGCCCATGCAGTAGTAAATTAATGACTAACCTCGTATTGTTGATGGATTATCTCAGTTGTTCTCCTGACTGAAGTTTGGTCTGTTTACAGCATCCTGCCATGCGATTGCATTTGTCTCTAACCATCAGGAACCCCCACGTTAGCGTTTATCCTCCAGCTTCGCTGCACTAATGTGTTTATATTATGCTCACACTTACTTTGGTAATGCAAATATAATGTGGCCAATATGAAATTTATTGTATTTAATTACAAATTTACAGCACTGAACTTGAACTGCTTCAAATACTGAGCTTCAGTAAAGATTCAAGTTGCATTTTTTTTTTACATTTCCTATCACTTTATGTCTTCATCTCAAAGACAAGTATCTTTTACAGTGTATATATAGATGCATATAAAAGACAAATATTATTCTTTTAAAATACGTTGGCATTACTAAATTTGTCTGAATGCTTACATATATGGGTAAAATAATTCGAGCTGTGATTAACTGTTTTTGATAAAATGAAGAGTAGACTCATATTTTAAATATTCCTTTACTGGGGGAGAAAATCAGACCATGTCATAACTGCTTTAAGTCACACAGAATAGATATCAGAGCCTTAAACAGGCTGACTTCTGCTAAATGGGTCAAACTGGGCAGAAATGATACAAACACATCACATCCTTATAGAATACGGATATTCATTTTCAGGTGCATACTGCTGCTGATACTTACTTCAAGTTTCTGAATATAAAAACTTTTTACTGCCTGTCATAGTTTTTAACTTGAAGGCCCTGAGTACTTTCTCCCACACTGAAAACGCTTGAATGATAAAATTATTTTAAATATCACCTAATAAGACTGATTCAGGACAGATAATTAGTTATTTTAAACCTTTCAGTCCTTCACAAACAGGGAACAGTCTGTCTATTCTCTCCATCTGTCAGCTGCTGCTGGCTCTTCCTCCTCCTCTTCCTCACACACTGCTGAGTTTGTCCTGGTGGATCATCGGTGCAAAGCCTCACAGATGATGTGCAGCAGTGGGTCCCTCAGTCCTGACTCTGGATGTGTGATAAGCTGCAGGATTCAAACACACTTTTTTTAACAATCAGAGAGAAAGAAAGAGAGAAGGTGAAAGTGCAGGACAGTGACAGGCTCAGGTGGTATATACAAAACACAAGAGAAGGAGTATTTTCTCTTTGTGTTATTAGGAGTACTAAATAAGAGGAGATTAGTTCCCAGTTGTGGCCACATGTTTGACTCCTATGAAGAAAGCCCCTTTCTTTTAGCCTAACTGTCAGCTCATTAAGACAAATGCTGAAGTCTGTTTGGCGCGACTCCACCAAACAGAGGCAGGAAAATAATCAAGCTGACATTAACAGTGCAATAAATCCTGCTTGTGCCGCGATATTCAGGGCTGCAAACCTACATGTCAGCTTGTTCTGTTTGATATATTACTGACTTTAAATATCCATAAAATCTTCACAATCTCTGTAAGATTAAAGTCAACTTTTGAAAGGCGTTAAAATCAAGTAGAACCTGAATCGCGTCAAGTTACTAACATCACTAATGTCAGATAGCTTTGCCGACATGTGGCCAATAGTAATGGTTTAATGTTCTTCTTAAAACATTTGTTTCGCCGCATAAATAAGTGACGTAAAACTGAGTTACTATTAAAAACTTACTCTTCTGCCGTGCTATGGATCCCGGGATAGCGTGGACAACGAAGGATACACTCATCTTCAAATCCGGGGAATAGGAGGACGCATTTGTTTTTGTTGTTGTTTTTTTGCAATGCATTTATTGAATAACAAAAACATGGCACAGTACAGACGTCACAAACAGACAAGTGCAGATGAAATAGCGGAGCACAAAAAGGACAAACAGTAAAAATAAGTAAACTGCCAAGCAAAATTAGATGAAATATGCAAAGGGTTAACATTTAGTTTTTCAATGTTCTTCATCTGCTTCTGCAGCAGCCTTCGTTGCCTCTCTGTGACATAATCAGCTTTCACATCGGTCTTCTCCGAAAGATTCGCCCCCTGAATTGGGAGACGACACTTCATGTTTGAAAAACATCGTCATAGATTCACTCTTGCTGTTTTGCTCCCACTGCAATAATATCACGCTTCCTGCACAGCTCTCTCTGTTTCTCATTGTGCTCAGTTTACCATCAAAAATCTGTTTTCTGCATGATTTGCTTGCTTATTGGTCTACTGCAGAATATTTTTAAGGCGGTTGGCTGCTATAAAAAACCAGGCCAAGACAACCTCCTTCATGTTTTTCTGTGTTTTATCCTCATCACAGCAGATAACACAAACCTGGAGCAGTTACACCATATTTGCGTTAGATACATTAGATTATTAGCTTAAAGGAAACAGCAGGGGGCGCTGCGCTGGAAGCCTTCGATTCATTCTTCATTAAACGAATAGACGAAGAAGAAGCGGCGCGGAGGCGAACGCGGCAGCCAGGAGCTTTTACGGAAGTGTGTGAAAGCAGAGTCACATGAGCAGGCGGCCGCTTAGGAAACGGTACCCCGACATGGACCTGGAGTCTCGGATACGGTGACTGACGTCCACGGGTAGCACGGGAACAGCAGCGTCACGGCGTCTCGGGCCGCGGTGAACATCTGTGGTAAGTCGTCTAGCCGGTGCTCTGCAGTTAGCCGCGGAGCTAACAGCAGGTAGCCGCGGCGGGCGGTGTTTTCTCCCCGAACCTCCCCCGGCCGAAGCACATCCCGTGACTGCTACTTTGTGTGTCCACAGATGGACGAGATTAAAGTGTCTCCGGACTACAACTGGTTCAGAAGCACGGTGCCACTGAAGAGGGTGAGTACACAGAGCCGCTCGGCCCGCTGCGTCATTAAGGAAGTGCACACTTGTTATGTCCTCTCTGCCTGCGGGGAAAAACAAACTCGCATACAGTTAGAAGCCAGGCTGCTGTTTGGTACAGGTGCGCGGCGGAGACGGAACCGAAACTATGACCCGAGCTCACCGAGGCCTCCTGCTCCACCGAACCACAACATGAAGAAAAAACCTTTTTATTTAACTCTCGTGCTGGATCGAGCAGCGTGTGTCAGTAGACAGTCTAGAGTTTGCACATGTAGTTCTAATTAGAAAATGATTGTTAAATATTTTTGCGAGCATACCCTGGAGGAGTCGGGGAGAGTTTACAGGAAGTGGCGTTAGAAACACAACTTTGAGGTTTTTTAACGTCTGTCCTGAATTACAGACCCTGGTTTTGATGTTAAACAATTTAGACTTTCTTCTTTAATAGTTTTTAAATGCTCATGTTCAAATTTGGCCTCGGACTTTAAAGTGGGGAAAGGTGGGTGGATAGGACTTTAAAAGTAAATGTGTGTGATATATGAAGGTATAATTCAGAATCATCATCATCCATGTTTTCAGAGATGACTGAGCAGGAAACGCTCTAAAAACGTTGTTTGGAGCTGGAATGACTGAAAGGAGAGTTGTTTATGTTGTTATACGTGTGTTTGTGACATGGCAGTGTGTTTCATTTTGAAATGTCATAGTGATTGTGACAGAGCACATGAATACACAGAGGGTTACACGTGGATGCACAAGCATTCTTGTGGTCAGATCACCAGACGCGTGCTCGGTGTGACCTTTGTTTCAAATATCTTTTATTAGGAGCAAGTATCATGGTTGTTACAAATTGATAGAACTTATGCCCCCTTTTTCTCTGAGCTAACAAAACAGACAAACAAACAACAACAAAAGAAAGAGAAAAAAACCCACCCACTATGGGCCCCAGTCCCCCGACTGCCAGAAAAAAAAAAGTTTATATTTCCCCAAGGTATGTAAGTAAAGGATGCCAGATTAATTCAAAGTCTTTTACATTATCATTCATGGTATATCTTATTTTTTCAAGATGAAGAGTTCCTGCAGTGATCCGGCAGCTTTGGAAAGGCAAAGAGACTCCTGTATTAAAGACGTGGCTTACAGAACTTACAAATACTCGGCGTGACCTTTGGCACTGATCATGACAACATCTCATATGATCCACAGGATTTTGGTGCAGCCGCATTTGAGTTGCACCGCAAACTAGTTTTACTACATTAGTACTTTAGTACTACTTTGTACTAGTATGTACCACGTCTCCCCCGTCCATGTGTTAGAGCTGCTCTTCATCACGACATCTTCTCTTTAGTTCCAGTGACACTCCTCAGGGAGAGTCACAGCAGCTTAGTCCTGCTCACACTAACACACCGCTGTTGGTGGTGCTGTCTGAACATGGGCTCACTCTGTCACCGTGCCAGGAAATAGTTCGGTCCCAAGTGGTTAGTCTGAGCTACTGAGTGCCTGGCTGTCCTCAGATCTGGTGTGCATGAGGCTTTCTGCCACTGCAGACTTCCTGCTTTGTTGTCATGTGAGCACTGAAGGCTTCTGTCCTTAACACATGTTGGTCAGTCAGCCACCTGTCACATGGTCACATTTATACTGATGTTGTGTGCAGTGCTCACAGGGCCGCTGCTTTCAGCATCACGTGTTCGGACAGCTAAACTAGGGCGGCATGGCCGATAAAAAATCTTTTGTTTCCAAGCTTCATTTAATCCACAGCTGTGAGTGCCCATATTTGTGCAGTGGAGAACACGTGTGAGAGTAAAAGTGCTCAATTTCTATTCTATTCTATTTGCACAGCAACAGTCGCCTCAAGGTGCTTTATATTATAAGGTCGACCCTACAATAATACATACAGAGAAAACCCCAAAAATCATATGACCCCCC